CCCACCAGTGGTTTACTTTACACCCCATGTCCTGGCTCGACTGAGTGTTGACTGTATAATTTGTGTAGTTTTGTCTGGAGCTTTAGACTGTTCCGCTGCTTTAGGGCAAAATCTTTTGAGTTGTCATTAAATGGGATTGATAATTGGCTTCTGATGAATATTCATTGTGACTAATGACTTTGGGCACATTTTACACATACTATCTATTCTCCTACCAAGTGAGATATTTCATAGAATCATTTTTTTCAACTTGCACTTTAATTAATTAAATATTCACAATACCGCTTTTTTGACTATGTTCCTTACTGTACACTTTCATTACATAAGATTTTATACTCTCTAGGGAATTAATATAGCCTTCAGATTCCTACATGTGATACTATATAAGACTTTGTATATCATTTCTGGATCAGTGTAAATAAACAGAGTCCCCATTGCAGTCGCCTAGCCACTGTTCTTAGTGGTACACAGAATGGGTGTCACTTTGTATTTTGGAAAAGAGCCAAACGATCTCCTCTTACTTTGTTTGTTTTATTTTTTAATTAATTAATTTATTTATTAAAGATTTCTGTCTCCTCCCTGCCACCGCCTCCCATTTCCCTCCCCCTCTCCCAATCAACTCCCCCTCTCTCATCACCCCTAAGAGCAGTCACGGTTCCCTGCCCTGTGGGGAGTCCAAGGACCATCCACCTCCTTCCTGGTCTAGTAAGGTGAGCATCCAAACAGCCTAGGCTCCCACAAAGCCAGTTTGTGCAGTAGGATCAAAACCCAGTGCCATTGTTCTTGATTTCTCAGCAGTCCTCATTGTCTGCTATGTTCAGCGAGTCCGGTTTTTATCCCATGCTTTTTTCAGACCCAGTCCAGCTGGCCTTGGTGAGTTCCCGATAGAACATACCCATTGTCTCAGTGTGTGGGTGCACCCCTTGCGGTCCTGAGTTCCTTGCTTGTGCTCTCTCTCCTTCTGCTCCTGATTTGGACGTTGGGGTTTCAGTCCGGTGCTCCAATGTGGAACTCTGTCTATGTCTCCTTTCATCGCCTAATGAAGGTTAATATCCAGGAGGATGACTATATGTTTTTCTTTGGGTTCTCCTTTTTTTTTATTTTATTCTTTTTTATTTATTAAAGATTTCTGTCTCTTCCCCACCGCCGCCTCCCCTTTCCCTACCCCTCCCCCAATCAAGTCCCCCTCCCTCATCAGCCCAAAGAGCAATCAGGGTTCTCTGCCCTGTGGGAAGTCCAAGGACCACCCACCTCCATCCAGGTCTAGTAAGGTGAGCATCCAAAC